ATGCGAGTGGAAAGCCCGCTCCTCCAGCCCCCGGGTCCACAGCTGCGAGTGCTCCCGCCTGCCCTCCGGTCCCCGCTCCCCCCGGCTCTCCGGCCTCCGCCCCCCTCAGCTCCCTGCGCTCCTCGTCCACCGCGTCCCGAGCCTCCAGCATCGACACCAGAGTATTCTTATCTAGCATCGAGATGAGTCCTGTGCTGTGCCTCGTGCCCGATCTCGTACGGCTTGGCAGCCGCGGGTCTGTCATACCCTCGGCCTTTGTACCCGGGCGAAGCTGCCGCATGGCGTGAGCCGTAAGCGGGGGCATCGCGGGGTCCGGCGGCGGCGGCGGCTGGTCTGGATCTGGGGTCGCCGACGGTGACAGCGAAGAGGCAGAGGACGGCTGGCCAGGAGCGGGGGTCGCCGACGATGACGGCGAAGTGGCAGAGGGCGGTTGTGAAGGCGTGAGAGCGGGCGGCGGCGTGGTCGCTGGCGGCGGCATTGCGGCAGGGGGCGAAGCGGCAGCGGGAGCGGGCGACGGCGTGGGCGCTGGCGGGGGCAGTGCTGCGGTCGAAGGCGTCGGTGCTGGGCCAAAGTTGATCGAGACAACCGGCGGCGTGAACGGGGGGGGTGTCGGCGAAGCGGTGATACCAGCGGAACCCCCCTCACCGGCTGGCGCCGACGTCACCCACGACACGTTGTTGGTGTAGACGACGCGGCCGGTGGACGCCTTGAGGACCTTGACGGTGCCGCTCGGGTGGTTGTCGCCGCCGTTCAGGTAGTAGCAGAGGGTGGCCTGGTCGTCGAGCTTGGTGCGGCGATCCTCGCGCATGAAGCCGGGCTGGAAGAACGGCAGCACGCGGAACGGCCCCTGCTCGCCGGTGAACATCTCGTGCGGCGAGCGCCGCCCGGGGTTGGCCTTGGTCGCCGACTGGTTGAGAGCGTCGGCGGCCCACTTCGCCGATTCCATCCAAAGACGGTCACCGCGCTCGTCGAGGCCGGGGATGGAGGCGAAGTCGACGTTGAGCACACGGGCAGCGCTGCGGCGAGCGGCCATGCCGGCCTTCTCAATGCGCCAGATGGCGCTCTTGACGACGCCGTTGTACTGTGGAAGGCCAGGAGGTGTGAACTCGACGCCGATGCCGTTGTCGTCGCAGAAGCGCCGGAAATCGCCGCGGGTCCACTCGGTGCCGTTGTCGACGCGGAAACACTCGATGCGTCCGAGGTCGTACCGCCCCACGTCCGCCAGCAGCCTTTTCGTTGCCGCCAGCGCGTCGGACTTCCGCCGGAGGCCGTAGACCTTGTTCCACCGCGAGGCGCTGTCCACGGCGACGAACAGGTAGAGGTTGCCGCCCAGGGAAGGCACCAGCGGTCCACACAGGTCCAGGTGAACACGCCCGAGAGGCTTGGACGCCCGCGCTCCCGGCCCCCGCGGCACCGACGCTCGCCTGCCCTTCGCCTTCATGCAGTCCGTGCACGGTTCCAGCTTGCCGGTGAGCACGATGCCTCTCTGCTGGGCAGTTTCTCTCAAAAGAGGCTCGCAAGCGTGGGCAAGGGAGCGGTGGAAGCGGTTGATGTCAACGGACTTTTCAGTCGAACCAAGAGCAAACGGGGACGCACCAGGGCCAAGCGCGGCCGCACCCAAGTCAAAATCAGCACCCCCATCAATGCTATCCAAAACACCAGCCACATTCGCAGCGTCACTCTCTGGGATAAACACGAAAAAAAGTCTTGATAAGGGGTGTCATCATAGCCATCCATGAGCTGCTCGTCGGTGAGCACACTCGTATCTCCAAGATCCATACCCGGAAAAGTACCCACACACACAAACTCGGACGCCGAGGAAGGTACTACGTCGGCAGAGCCGGCGGGCGGGACGCTCTCACTCGCAGGTACTACACTGGTGGGACCAGTGGGCGGGACGCTATCAGCCGAAGGCACTACGCTAGCTAAGCCAGCGGGAGGAATACGCAACATGGATACCAATGATTTCGCGGAGCCCCCCTTTTGCGAAGGGAATGCGCGGAGCCAACGGCGGGGGCGGAATCGGGGGCAGTCACGAATGCGGGCAAAGCAGCAGGGTCTACAATAATCGCAGATGGGTCGTACGGCAACCGCATGGCATACGCTGCAGACGCTTGTTCCTCTGTAGCAAAGAGCAGTCCATTTTGTAGGGTTGCACCACGTTCGTCGTACAGGATTGGTTGCTTCAGAGAAACAGCATGCGTTGAGAACAAGTTGAAACTCAGGCTCTCTACTACAGACACGTCAGTGAGCTTCACACACGTCGTCGTTTTCTCACCATTCTCATCCTCCTGAAAGAAACTAAGATTAATGCTACCGATGGCTTGCACTTCTAGCAGTCGACCATCACCTACAACGACAT